AACTTGAACCGCAGGCCTCCTGGTTCAATTGAACTGTGCAGTCCAGCGCATTAATCAACAGCACCATAGCAGAGTCCAACATGGGTAGTACTCTGCCCTTAAATGTAAGAGATGTGTGATAAAGAATAGTAATACATGGTCATCTGGTTCACACCAAGCTATGCTGTAGAGGTGCCAATTTTGAAAACACCGACTCTGAACTTTGTTTTTACTGTCCCATCATTCACATGTGAAACATGTTCCCATCAAGAATGTGCTTCACATGATGCCCATTTGACTGGACTTCAATGACTGGATAAACAGAGCTCAACCCTAAGAAGAAAGAAGAGGGAAAAAAGTGTCATCTGATACAATTCGATAAACATGACCCACACCTATAAATGCAGTAGCTCAAAAGAGGAAACAAGTCCCTGCTGCAAGAACTATACCCACCCCCTCCACACAAAGGGTAGAGAGGGATGGGCAAATCGGACATTGGCTACCCAAAATGGGGGGAGGGATACAAAGGCAAGAAGTGACTGGCTTACAAGCTTTCAAGAGGGAACCTGGATCCGGAGGGCATGGAGGAAGGTAGAGTCTCTAGTAAGTGGTGTCCAGCCTGTCCAGGAAGGGCTGATGAAACGAAATACAGATGGGTCTCTTGTGATGCAGTGGTGAATAAGTGTTATCAGGACTGATTGAGAGGGTTGGAACTCTAAAGATGGACATTTTGTAACAAAGAGGGGAGTGATTAATCTATCAGTCTTGGAGCGGAGGTTATCAGTGGAGAAGAGCGAAGAGCAGAATCCTACCCAGAGAGGATGTGAGGCCTGGGATGGAGGCAGAGAAGACAACGTCAAGAAATGGTGGGGCTGGGGGCTCGGGATCAGGAGATGGAAAGGGGCTGAGGACTGTGGTGGGAGGGGGGTACAGGTTTACAGGGTACACCCCTTGGTGGAGTGAGGATGCATGGACAGGATGATAACTATGCCAACAAAATGATGGATGATGGAATGAATGTAAAGCTGATGTTCTCCCGTGTAGATTATCACACAATTCACAATAAAACATTAAAAAAAAAAAAAAAAGAATGTGCTTCACTGCGAGCTAAGCCCTGCACCGTTCAATGGACTCCTGTGAACCCGGGTGGAGACCTGGTTGGCCAGCAGTGTGGCAAGACCTGGGGACTCTTCGGCCCAGAGTCAGTGACATAGCCACAGAGGACTAGAGTAGAGAGTGAAGTGTCCAGCTGATAAGAAGAGAGGGCACATGCACAAGAACACCCACACTTGCAGATAATACCCACTTGACCTGGCTTCAATGACTGGATGATCAGAGCTCAGCTAGAAGAAGAAAGATGAGGGAAAAAAAGAGTAATCTGATGCAATTTGATGAACTTGATTTACACCTATGGATGCAGTAGCTCAAAAGAGGGAACAAATCTTTACAGCGAGGATCATTCCTACCCTCTCCATACAAAGCGTAGACAGGGATGGAAAACTTGGACATTGGCTACCCAAAATGGGGGGACTACAAAGGCAAGAAGTGACTGGCTTACAAGCTTTCAAGAGGGAACCTAGATCCAGAGGGCATGGAGGAAGGTAGAATCGCCACTGAGTAATATCCAATCTGTCTAGGCGGGGCTGATGAAATGAAATGCGGATAGGTCTCTTGTGATACAATAGTGAATAATTGTTATCAGGACTGCTTGTGAGGGTTGGAAATGTAAAGGTAGACGTTTTGTGGCAAAAGGAGGAGAGTGATTAACTTTGCAGTCTAGGACCAGAGGTCCCTGGGACCATGAAGGTAGAAGAGCGGAGAGCGGGGCCCTACCCAGAGAAGCAGAGATGGAAGCAGAGACTATGATGTGGAGAGATGGAGCAGCTAGGGATTCTGGGGATTGTTCCATCTCTCCAGAGAGGAAGAAGGGCTGTGTGCTGAGGAACCGGGGTGGGGGTGGGGGTGGGTGGGAGGCAGGCTTGCAGTGTATACCCTTTGGTTGGGTGATGGTTGATGATGCATAGAGGGGATTGTAACCATGGCAATGAAATGATATACGGTAGAATGAATGTAAAACTAATGTTCTCCCATGTAAACAATCACATAATTCACAATAAAACATTAAAAAAAAGAATGTGCTTCATGTTCTTATTATATGTGGTAGTTTTAACTGGGAGAAAAGAAAGGAAAATGCTATTGCAGTTTGAAAAAGTATTAGAAAACTTGTGCAGTTAAAAATCATTGCCATAAACCGTACCATTTTGACTCTTTTCCACCAATTCAAGTCACCTTGGTTCTTGCAACTTTATTTAAAAATAAATTATTTTGTTTTTCACCTTTCCTATGAATCCAATTTGGTGGATTTCCCCCACACTTATTTTACTGGTTACATAACTGTTGTTTGTTATATTATCTTTGCTGAGCAAGAGATAGTAGTATATACTCTCTTTGTCCTTAGTTTAGTGCTTTGTTTTGAATTATGAGTTTTAGATGTTAACTTGCTATATTCCAGCTTGTTACCCATGCAGTCAATGTAGTTTCTAGCAAGGCTTTTAGTTCAGGCATATCTTAGTTCTAATCTTATTTCTGCCACTTACAAATTGAGTGATTCTGTGTTATTTACACCTTCTAAAACTTAATCTCCCCATCAGTAAAGTAGAAATAATATTACTTACTTGGTGCCATTAATGTAGGATTCAGTGGATGCAAAGCATGTGTGTAGAAACTTGACTCAAAAGCAGCCTCGTTGTCAGACGGGGGGTGGGGGGGGGAGAGTGTATGTGTGAGGGGTGGTGGGAGTGGAGCAACAGCTTTTATGCATACTTCCTCTTCTAGAGCCTGGAACTGCAAAACCAAAAGTCACTAAAAACAGGAAAACTTTCCATTTAAAAACTTGCTCACATATTTGTGGAATTAGTACCTGTTGCCAGACACTGTGCTAGGCTGTAGGGATTCCACCAGGAGGAATGCAGTTTTAAGTCTCATGAAGCATAATCTAGATAAATCAGAGGGAATTAACTGTGTGATATGAGCTATGTTAGGGAAAGTACAAAGAGGATATTTCAATCATGTTCCTAGTCTAGGCCTTTGGGTTGGAGGTGAGGTGTAGGATGCGCAGAGAAGGCTGATTCCAGTGTTGATAAGAGTTGTCCCACTCTTGTAATCTGGTGGTATATTAGATTTAAAATTCCTAAAATCATCAATTAATCTGAACATAGGATGAAGAGATATTAGCTGCAAATTATCTTTGCCATCATTTGCTGACATTATGCTGGATACAGTAGTAAACTCTAGGAACTATGCAAGAAAGAAAATCTGTTTTCTGGAGCTCACACCTTTCAACAAGTAGTTACAAAACAACACAGCCCATACTCTAATGACAGTGTAATGAGAAGTGCACAGTCTCACATTTTCTTTTTGTGCCTTTCGTGCCTTGCCCTGGTCATTTCTGCCCTGCCCCTGGCTTTGCCAATGCATGCTGGCTTTGGAGAGGTATGAGGAGGGGTGGAGGCAGTGGTAAGGATGAAGGAACATGATGGGCCCTGGTTAGGACCCCAGAATTTAAATGTGTCCTAATAATCTTGAATCATACATTTTACCGAATTTTTATACTCATTGTCATGCATGCACAACTCTTCTGATGTTGCTATTTAAAAAACAGAAAGTGGTAGTGTCCTCTGTTAGAGTGCCAGCAAAGCTCTGGTAGCGTGGTGGTTACGAATTGGGCTGCGAACCTCAAAGTCAGCAGTTTGAAACTACCAGCGGTTCTGCGGGAGAAAGACGAGGCGGTCTGCTCCCGTAAAGATTTACAGCCTCGGAAACCCTGTACAGGGTCTCTATGGGTCGTAATCAACTCAACAGCACTTAACAACAACAACAACATGTATTTGTGAACTTAAAGTTTGTGGAAAAATTGAATTAAAAACCATGGAGTTTTTCCATGAACTTTTTGAAGTCCTCACATACATAGACAATGAGTTCTGCTGGTGCAGTGGTTGACTGACAACAGAAAGGTGAGCAATTTGAACCCAGCAGCCACTCCATAGGACAAAGATGAGGCAGTCTACTTCTGTAAAGATTGACAACCTGAAAACATTTCTGGGGCCAGTCCACTTTGTTCTTTAGGGTCACTATGCCTCAGAATCAACCTGGTGGCTACAGGGTGATGTACACAGAGATGCATTGCAGAACTCTGAGACAGGCTATGGTCAGACTATCTGCAATAAAGTAATATTAAAACAGAAATGTTTTTATGCCGTTGGGTTGGTTCCAACTCATAACCACCCTGTATTGGGCTTCTGAGAGCTGCTGGTAGGTTTGAACTGGTGACCTTACTGTTACCAGTCCAATGCTTACAAATGAATATATAAGAAAATCAAGAAAGTAAAAGCTAACACGGAATGTTTTTAGATAATACGTTTAAGCATTCCAGTTACTATGAGAAATAAAGCATTGAAGTTAAGAAGTAGTTTGTAACAGTAAACTATTAGTATCAGTATTCTCTCAGAAGCACTGAATGACAGGACATCGTGTCCACAAACTTGGAAGTTTGCCCTTTATGGCATTTGTTGTTGTTGAGTGCTGTTGAGTTGGTTCCAACCCACAGCAACCCTGTATAGGGTTTCCAAGGAGCGGCTAGTGAGCTTGAACTGTCAACTTTGTGGTTCAAGTGACTTTGCAGTCCAGCACATTAACCCACAGTGCCACACCAGGACTCCAGTTTATTGCCTCAGAACAGCAATAGTGACACTTTTGATTGATTATTGTGTGCCACACTCTGGTTGAAGCACTCTTTAGTCATCAGAATAAGCCTATGATATAAGTACTTTGTAAGTTAAAAAACTTCCGTAGGTCACACAACCAAACACTGTTAGTCAGCTATTATTAGTAGTTAAGATTCAACACAGGCAGACTGACGCTCAAATGTATGCTTTCTCCTTCTTGCCCCCAGATGTGCATTTAAAAGTAAATAAAAGGGGGCAATACTCCATTTAAACGGTTGTTTGTACTTTATTTTTCAGAGGTTATCTTCGGGTACCAACGACAATGAAGACAAATCAGATGAAGAGCCACTTCTAAGAAAGAGTTCTCGTCGGTTTGTCATCTTTCCGATTCAGTACCCCGATATTTGGAAAATGTACAAACAGGCACAGGCGTCCTTCTGGACCGCAGAAGAGGTAAAACGCGTCACCGTTATGTGCATTCTGTAGTGCTGTGCTCATACCTTTTGATACAGGATGTTGAACAATTTTAGCTTAAAGTATATTAACTTCACACACGGAATAAGCTAAATTATCTAAGATAACATTTGGAATTACAGAGACAAAACAATTTTCTCCAGTGCTTTGTGTTTAGACTGCATTCTATATAGCAGTTTTGTGCTGTGAGAGAGGCATTTCATTCTGTCAGCTTTTTCATTTCTAATACATCTTACAGCATTTTCTGTTTTTAAATATACTTTGAGTTTGCCGTGGCCACATCAGGCTAATCTTTACTGATGACCAGCAGGATAAATCAATTGCAATTTAGTTGTAGCCGAAAACAGAGTGAAAGCCATGGTAACCCTGCTTTCTGATCTAGGAGAGACTTGTGTGATTGTACGGACGGAGCTGTCACATTGAAAGTCTGGCCTCTCAGGAAGGCAGCAAACATACTCACTCCTGAGCCTGCTAGGCCAGATTCATAGTGGTGTTCCTTCCAGTGTGGCTGAATCCTCCACTATAAACCTAGCAGAGCTGCCCCTGGTGGAAGCACAGCTGTAGAATGCTGTGTGTGCCACATTTCCACCTAGGAAATGAGTTGAACATAACAAATGAGAGAATATTTGCTGATGTGGATAGGACACTTGGTCATGCAAATGACTGCATTGTGGTCTCATTAAACAAGGGCTTCAAACCAGTTCAAACCAGGTCAGTTATGGCCAACAAGACAAATCAGAACAGACTTGAATTTTTAAAATGTGGGTAAAATGGAATGATAACAGTGTGGGAAAATTATAGGTCAAAGAATTGGGAATGAAGGAGTTGAAAGAAGCCTAGAAGTCTGATCCCAGAGATTGGATCACTGCCAGGACTGGAGAACACCACATATTCATAGTGGCTCTGTCGGCTGCCATCTTTAAGCGAAGCTCTACAGCTTCTGACTAGCCCTCTGTCTTACTGTGGTGACTTACATGTGGCTGTGATGCTGGAAGCTATGCCACTGGTATTTTAAATACCGGCAGGGTCACTTATGGTGAACAGGTTTCAGTGGAGTGTCTAGACTAACACTGACTAGCAAAGGGAGATGCAGACTATTTCTGAATGGTTTGCCACTGAAAACCTTATAAGTTAGCAGTGGAACATTAGCAGATAAAGTACCAAGAGATGAAAACCTTGTGAATAGCAGCAGAGCATTGTTAGATAGAATGCCAGAAGATGAGCCCCTCAGGTTGGAAGGCACTCAAAATACCACTGAGTAACAGCTATAGCCTCAAAGCAGAGTTGACCATGATGAAGTAAATGGAATAAAGCTTTTGGTACCTTCATTTACTGATGGGACACAACTCAAAATGAGGAGGAACAGCTGCAAACATCAATCAATAATTGGAACATGGAATGTACAAAGTATGAATCTAGGAAAACTGGAGTTGTTGAAAATGAAATGGAACGCATAAAAATCTATATCCTAGGCATTCTTGGGATCAACTATCAACACTCACTGAAGCAGCAATCAAGAAGTCAAACAACATATCGCATTAGGCAAGTCTGCTGCCCAAGACCTTTTTAAAGTGTTGAAGAGCAAAGATGTCAGCTTGAAGACTAAGGTGCACCTGACCCAAGCCACGGTATTTTCAGTAACCTCATATGCATGTGAAAGCTGGACAGTAGATAAGGAAGTCTGTAGAAGATTGATGTTTTTGAGTTGTGGTGTTGGAGAAGAATATTGGAAGTGCCATGGGCTGCCAAAAGAACCAATAGATCCATTTTGGAAGAAGTGCAGCCAGAGTGCTCCTTGAAGGCCAGGATGGCCAAACTTTGTTTCTTATACTTTGGACGTATTGTCAGGAGAGAGCAGTCGCTGAAGAATGATATCATGTTTGGTAAGGTGGAGGGTCAGAGAAAAAGAGGAAGAACCCCAACGAGATGGATTGGCCAAGTGGCAGCATCGATGGACTCAAGCATGGCAACAATAGTGAGGTTGGCCCAGGATCAAAGCCGGTGTTTCATTCTGCTGTGCATAGGGTCGCTATGCGTCGGTACTGACTTGATGGCACTTAACAACAACAACAAGGCATCAGTGAGCTGAAATGGACTGGTGTTGGCCATTTTGAATCTGACAGTCATGGTTTACTATGCCAGGAAAGACAAATTCAAGAGGAATGGTGTAGCATTCATCATTAAAAAGAACATTTCAGGATCTGTCTTGAAGTACAATACTGTTTGTGATAGGATAATATAAGGAAGTCGAAGTTCTGGTGTGGTGCTGTAGGATAAGCACTCAACCTCAAGGTCGGTTTGAATCACAAGGTTGGCGGTTCAAACTCAGCAGCCGCTTCTGGGAAACCCTATACAGGGTCACTATGAGTCGGAACCGACTCCACAGCACTTAACAATAACATGAGGAAGTCCTGGTGTGGTGCTATAAGGTAATCACTGGACTGCTAACTGCAAGATCAGAAGTTCAAACCTACCTGCCACTCCTTAGAAGTCCTCTACAGGGTCAGTATGAGTCAGAATCAACTTGATGGCACTTAACAACAATATAGGGAAAACCAGTTAATACCACTACTATGCAAATTTACATACAAACCACTAAAGCCAGTGAAGATGAAATTGAAAAATCTACAGTTTTCTTCAGTCTGAAATGGATCAAACATGCAGTCAAGATGTTTTGATAATTAATGATGATTGGATGAGAAGGTTTGAAACAAAGACTATCAGAAAGTTAGAAATATGGCCTTGGTGACAGAAGTAATGCTGGAGATTGCATGATAGAATTTTGCAAGACCAATGACTTATTCATTACAAATACTTTTCTAAAGAGACATAAAAGGCTACTATATACATGGACCTCCCCAGATGGAATACACAAGAGTCAAATTGACTACATCTGTGGAAAGAGACGGTGGGAAAGCTCCATATCATCAGCCAAAACAAAGCCAGGGGCAGACTGTGGAACAGACCATCCATCAACTGTTCAAGTTCAGGCTGAAACTGACGAAAATAAAAACAAGTCCTTGAGAGCCAAAATATAACCTTGAACATATCCCATATAAAGTTAGAGGCCATTTCAAGAACAGATTTGATGCATTAGACACTAAAGACCAAAGATCAGAAGAGTTGTGGGATGACATCAAGAACATCATACAGAAAGAAAGCAAAAGGTCATTAAGAAGATGAGAAAGAAGAAAAAGACCAAAATGGATGTCAGAAGAGACTCTGAAACATACTCTCCAGCATAGAGATGTTAAAGCAAATGGAAGAAATGAGGAGGCAAAAGAGATGAACAGAAAGTATCAAAGAACAGATTGAGAAGATAAAGTCAAGTATTATAATGAAATGTGCAAAGAGCTGGAGTTAGAAAACCATAAGGGAAGAACACAATCAGCATCTGTCAAGCTGAAAGAATTGAAAAAAAGATTCAAGCTTCAACTTAAAATATTGAATGATTCTATCGGACTCCTGGTATGGTGCTGTAGAGTCAACACTGGACTGAAATTCACAAGGTAGCAGTTCAAATCCACCAGCTGCTCCTTGGAAACCCTGTATGGGTCGCTATGAACTGACTGACTCGACGGCACTTAACAACATAGGCAAAATATTGATTGATGCAGAGAGCATCAAAAGCAGATGAAAGATATACACAGAATCACTGTACCAAAAAGAAATTGCCAATGTTCAACCATATGATCAAGAAGGAAGAAGTCCTAGCTGAACTGAAGGCATTGGCAAAAAATAAATCTCCAGGAGTTTACAGTATACAAATTGAAATCTTTCAACAAACGGATAAATCATTGAAGGTACTCACTCATCTATGTCAAATTTGGAAGACAGTTAGTTACTTGGACAACTGATTGGAAAAGCCATATTTGTGCCCATTCCAAAAACAGGTGACCCAATGAAATGCAGAAATTATCAAACAATATAATTAATATCATATACAAGTAAAAGTTTGCTGAAGATAATTTTAAAATAGCTGCAACAGTACATCAACAGGGAACTGCCAGAAATTTAAGCCAGATTTAGAAGAAGACATGTAATGAGGGATATCATTGCGGAGGTCACATGGATCTTTGCTGAAAGCAGAAAGTACCGGAAAGATGTTTACTTGTGCTTTATTAACTATACAAAGCCTTTCCACTGTATGGATCATGACAAGCTGTGGATAACATTATAAAGAATGAGTATTCCAGAACACTTAATTATGCTCATGAGGGACCTGTACCAAGAGGCAGTTGTTAGAACAAAACAAGGCGATACTGAATGGTTTAAAATCAGGAAAGGAGTGTGCCAGGGTTGTATCCTTCCACCGTACTTATTCAGTCTGTATGCTGAGCAAATAATCTGAGAAGTTGGATTATATGAAGAAGAAAGTGGCATCAAAATTGGAGAAAGACTCATTGTTGTTGTTGTTGTTAAGTGCCGTCGAGTCGGTTCCGACCCATAGCGACCCTGTACAGGGTTTCCGAGGGTGTAAATCTTTACGGGAGTAGAAAGCCTCATCTTTCTCCCGCGGAGCGGCTGGTAGTTTCGAACCGCTGACCTTAAGGTTCGCAGCCCGATTCATAACCACTACGCTATATGAAGAAGAAAGTGGCATCAAAATTGGAGAAAGACTCATTAATAACCTGAAATTGATACAACCTTTCTTGCTGGAAGCGAAGAGGACTTAATATACTTACTGATGAAGATAAAAGATTATAGCCTTTTGTAAGGATTGCATCTCAATGTAAAGAAAACAAAAATCCTCACAACTAGACCAGTAAGTACATAACATTATGATAAATGGAAAAAAGACTGATGTTGTCAAAGACTTCATTTTGCTTCGATCCATAATCAACTCTCATGGAAGCAATAGTCAAGAAATCAAATGACATATATTGAATTAGGCAAATCTGCTTCACAAGACCTCTTTAAAATTTTCAGAACTAAGGTATGCCTGATCCAAGCCATGGTACTTTTAATAGCCTCATATG